ACTGGGGAGCGCGAAACATGCTGGCGTAAACGCGGCCGGCGTGCGGGTGGTGAGCGGGATCATTGTGGTATCAAGAGTGTCCCAAAAGAGTGCTTCAGGAGCAGCCCCTATGCAGGTGGACAGCGTCCTCAACGGAGAGGAGCGCCCGATGAGCGACTTCTCGGAGGCCGAACTTCGCCAGTTGGCGGGAGAATCCATGGAGAGCGTCTACCAGGAACGCCCGGAGGCCCAATACGGCGACCTGTGGAGATCCGTGCCGGGGATCGGAGTGGCGGCCTTGGCTGAACCGCGTTCGTGGGCGTGGTGGAACGTGGGGGTGTTTTTGAGCGGGTGCGGTGGGGTGTACCCCCAATTGGAGCAGTGAAGTCTGATGGAAGCGCTGGGGCTGGGGGGTTCTCCACCATAGGAGTGGGAATCAAGTCAGCGTTATGTCATATGGCGGACCTCTTCAGCGTTGTGCTGACACAGCGAGAAATGCACCAAGGTTGGCGCTCCTGAGCCACAACGTTGCGCTGCCGTTTCATCTGCACATCAACGTCTACACCCCCTCACCTCTGTACACACACAGACATAGATACACACATAAACACACACACAAAGACCCACACACTTACTCAACACACAAGACTTAACACTTCACACTTAACACACAACTCACATTCTAACTTCACACGTGGTGAAAAATGCTTTCGGGCCACTCGTCGTCTAGTTTCAGTTCCTCGTCCACGCCCTTGGTGTTTGTTCGTCCTCGTCCACGCCTTGGAGACGACCAACGAGCTCACGGACCTGGATGGCGGAAGAAAGGAGCCGGAGGCGTCCGCGAGGCGTGGTCGGACACGAGACCTGCTGAGGTGCTCTCGTCTTACTTACCATGGAGCGCACCACAAGAACACGTGACACGTGTTGGGTAAGGGATCAATAAAAAAATAAAAAGGTAATCAAAAAAAAATATTCTAGCCCACTGAGGATGGTTGGGGTAGTAGAGGAGAGTGTACCTCCCCAGGAGCTCCCTCCTAGTAGGGAGCTATTTCCACTGGTGAACCATTTTTCGAGTAGGGCTACTCAATGACTGGACGGCAACCTTATCGTTGGGTACCTACTTTCTTCCCAGGGAGCTGCCTCTAGTAGAAAGCAATCAAGCCTCTATTTGCGCAAGCAGGGGACCAGGAGATCGACAGACGAGCGCCGTAGGAGAGCACAAAAGACCAGCGGACCAGGAGACAGAAGGACTAGGATACCAGGGGACCAGCGGACCACAGGACCAGAGGACCAGGAGACCGGAGGACTAAAGGACCAAGGGACCAGGGGACCAAAGGACCAGTGGACCAAGGGACCAAAGGACCAAGGGACCACATTACCAGAGGACCCGCAGACCACAAGGCCAGGAGAGCAGCAGAAGAGGCCTATCAAGGAATTTTTTTGTTGATTCGCGTTTTTTTTGATCCTGTTTTTACTTTTTGTTGATGCTCTTTTTATTTTTTTGATACCTATGCCACACGTGTTTGTCTAGGAAACGTGCTAGGAAAAAAGAAGAGGGCGCTTGGCTCATCTCAGCTCGAAAGGAAAACATCGCGTGAGTCCACCGGGGCAATATGTGACTAAGAGCCCTCCATTGACGACTTAGAATAGAAGTGTGAAAGGCATAAGGATTAAGCTTCCACCAAACGATGACAAGGAGGAACTAAGAGCGCGTGGCACATAGTAGTATTCAATCCCCGGTGGTCTTGGTGTGGCAGTACTCCATGCAAGAATCTGCAGCCTCCGCCTGTTGAAACGGCAGCATGAGCCAGATCCGGAAGCTCTTCTCTTTCTTCACGGATAAGCAACATATTTTAGCTTTTTCAACCGCGTAGACTTCTTGATGTCATCCAAATTGCTTGACATGATCTCACCAATACGCACCGAGAGGGCTCGCTGGAAGGAGTTTGCATATTCATTAGCAGTGGCTCAGTGGCTGGAAGGAGTTTGGCAGCTTGAGCATCTCTCACACCCCCGCTTCGCTCGGGGGAAGTTGGTCCCAAGTGAACTGTAGGAGTAAGAGAGGTGGGGGTTCTCAAACGACAGCATCGTTCCATGTCATGTATGAGAAGATCGCCATGGTAGCAGCAATAAAAGGCAGATTCCACGAAAAAGAGTCATGGTGCACAAGAACATGATGCTCCCAGGAGGACGTTACATTGCTGCAACGCTCAGAGTCTTGCCTTCACTCTCCTTTACCAGCCTGACAGGCTGAACAAGGGCTGATTCCGCCGCTATTGCATGACATGTTTCCGCCTGAACAGATTGCTGTAGCCAAACACCCTTAAGATCCCTCAAGTCTTGATCTTCAGCACAAGGATGTGAGCTCTGCACTCACCAGCCATCGAGCCATCCGGGTGAGTCCTTTGGATCCCTAGGCACCCTGACTGCAAGACCCGGGGCGAGGGTGTGTCATCCTCCTCCAAGTTGGGAAAGAGGCTCCTGGAAGATCCGACCGAGGCCATGCGAGTAGCGATCGGACGCTACGAACAGGGCGCTCCTGGCATTACTACTAGCAAGAAGCTACTAGGAACAAGAAGCTACTAGGGGCTCCTGGCATCGCTACTAGGAGCAAGGACGCTACTAGGGGCTCCTGGCATTACTACTAGTAGCAAGAAGCTACTAGGTTGGAGGCCAGTAACAAGGGGCGCCGCCGTGGTTTCAGTGAGGCGACACAAGTCGACTGTGGCGGTGGACTGGTCAGTTCGCAAACAATGGTGGATTGGTCGGGTGAAGATGGTGGTTTTGGACCCATAATAGCAATGGCCTCCAACCCAAGAGCGATAGCCTCCTAGGTGATTTTGACCCTCACCCCACATGGGAGGAAGGGCCTCCACCACTTGCCCTGGGAGGGAAGTTTGTTCTGTGAAGAATCATGTGATTGGTGCTGTTGCTGCAACACGCAAAAAGGAATAGGTGAAGAGTTGGGTAAAGGAACTGCATGTGTATTCTACTTAGTTTTGGTGCAAAGAAGATGTTCTAATCTTGCAAATGTCATGTCCTTCGCCAAGTTCCTCCAACTTGACCCTGAACACCTCGCCGTTCCTCCCCTTTCCGCATGTGCTTCTGAGGGTCCGGACTTAAGTTGCAAACCGGCCACCGGCTTAGCCTTCACCGAGTAATACCTGCACCCAGCAGGCTCAGGAGCTGGCCATTCGGTGAGCTGCTCCTTTTCTCGGCGCGGAGTACCATTTTTGTCTGGCAGTTTTCTGGCTTGCACACCGGAAACTGAACGAAAGGCTGTAAGACTAAGGATCATCGGCATTTCGTGTTCTCGGCAGTTTGTGCACAAGTTCAACAATCATCTAGTAACAAGAAGCTACTAGTTACTAGTAGCTCCTGGCATCGCTACTAGGAACAAGGGCATTACTACTAGGAACAAGAAGCTACGAACGTGCGCATTTACCCCCACTTCTTCAACTTCTTGAATCACCCGAAGTGATGCCTTTTTCACTAAAACACTCGGTGGCGTCAGGAAACACCGTCCGACGTGTCGTCGTGTCGGTTGGACAAGTCTTTCGGCATACTCCCGTCGGAGCCAGTGCAGTGCAGTGTGGTGGCGCATCCTTTGGTGAAGTGTTTCGTCACTGGAACAGGCTGGCCCTCCAAACAAAAAGGAGCTTTAGTTGAAGTGACCCCCTGACTGATTGTTCTTTTTGGGTGGAATCTCCTTGGGTTTCAGTTGGTCAGCTCTGAAGCCAGGTCATCTGTACTTGATCAAGTCAGGAGAAAATCATGAAGACGAGAGACCGGTGTTTCGAGTGTTTCATGTGCGTTTCGTTCCAGCCACCAGCCCCTCGCCCTTGCACGGTGCAAACGGATAAAAAACCTGCATCAGTGCAAACGGGTACGAATCCCTCTGGGTGGAAATACATATGGTGGTGGACATCCGATGTCGATTTCCGCGCCCCGAGCGAGTTCGTAAATGGAATTCTTCAGGATAAGGAATCGGATTTGATTTGAGAGTCATGCCATAACTATGTTGGGGCTCCAGGTTTGGACTCATCCCCTGGGTTCCAGGAATATGCGCCAGCGCACGTCGCTCGCTTCTTGCCACTGACCTCAGCATTTCCGGCTCTTGAAGTGGATTCTCTCCTGATGCCATGCCCACAAGTCCTAATGATTGGGGATTGTCAAGAATGTGTTTGTTTTGCCAATGAAAATATGTCTTGCTTGGTGAGTAGTAATCCTTCATCATGCGTAGCGATGCCCTCGCGATGTCTCTCTCAAATGATCAGCGATCTTGAATCATCTTGATCGTCCCTCACTGATGTCGGGACAGATGACTCAAAAAGTCTCCAAGCGGCATTCACCTATAGTCGTGTTGTGTCAATCATCCTGCTGGAACACTGAGCAACTGCTGGAACATCTTGCAACAAATCTCAAACACCCCCGTAATACACTGACACTAACCAATGGATGCCCATATTGAAATCTTCCTACCAATCCTGTTTCTCTCAGGTCCAGTGAAGACATCTTTCAAGGTCTCCATCTTCAAGGTGGACATTTCATAGAGCCAGAAAAGAAAACGACGATAGCTTCTTAGTTGCTATAGTAGTAAGGCCAGGAGCGCTACTACTAGCGTCCTTGCTCCGTTCGTAGCGGATGGTTCAACAATGTCTCATTTCATCCTCTCCTCGCCTGCTGACCCTCTGGGCATCCCGCCGATGTGTTGCTGGCGGCAAAGCTCCCTTCATCGCCTCGTGAGCAGGGCTGGTGCGGAGCTTAAGGCCGGGAAGTGGATTCTGGATGGTCAAGTGGGACCTCAGACCGAAGGCATTTTGAGTCCTTCACAACTTCGAAGACCTCACAAATTGAAGGATTCGGAGGATTCACTGGATGAACATCCTATAGCGACTTCCTTGTTTAAAGGGTCTTCGAGCGGCGTTCATCACAAAACTGTGCCTTTGGCCTGGATCCCATGGTCATCTCGCTTGCTGCAGTAGGCCTTCCATCTATGAAGTACAGCACTCTGTTCCCAATCTTTGGGTTTCCCGTAACCCAAACAGCACCGAGCACGTTCTTTGGGCGATCCTGGTCTTTCTGCCAGTTTCAAAGAATCCTGGTCTAGAAAACCATCCACCTTGCAATCTCAATCACCGACCCAAACTCTTTCTACAACCAGCCCAACCTTCCACCCCGATCCCGCCAGGTCGCCCGATCCCGATCCCGCCGGATCCCGCGGCGCGCGCCTGCGGGAAGCCCCGAGGTCAACAGCTGGATGAGCTCGTTCCTCCGCATCAACGACCTTGCTGGGCGTCGAAATGCAAGCCACGCCAGCCGGATGGAAACGCCGGGAGCAGGTGGCGAAGAACACAGACGGAGCCGGTGGAGATGTCATCGCCACGAAGGAAGGACGTGTCCTTCAGGATCGTACGTGGTTGCTGAGGAGGTTGATTTGCGACATAAGTCATGAACTTCAGCTGCCAGAAGTCCACTGGTTCGATATTATGGAATCACAATCAGTAGAGAAACAATATGTAGACGAAGCATGTCCATGTTGGTTCCTTTTGACAGCGCAAACAAATAATTTGCTTTACTTCACTTGAATAGAAGGAAACTGTTAAAATGCTTTACAATGCCTTGCAAAATCCCCATCCGGTTTTCAAAACACGGTCTTAAACGCAGGACAAAGTCAAAACTTTCGCACCATCAACACGCCGAACGGCACTTCACGGCACTTCACCGAACACCATCGCCGTCTTCTGCGCTTCCCCACAAGGACATGGCGACCTGCAGCGGCTTCTGCCCCTTGCGATTGCGCACGTCGATGTCCGCCGCATGGCGGATCAGCATCTGACAGGCCTCCACCTGTGAACGCGCGCGCGAGCCTCCAAGCGGGTGGAATTGGATCAAAGACTCAAAGAGACGTGTCTATGGTGTGGGCTAAGACAGATCACGAGTGATGGTGGTTTTCTTGAAGTTGCGAATGAAGAACTTGTCCAAATGGTCGTCAATGAACGCTACAGGGATGTGAGTTGTTGGACGCGGAAACATCAAACAAAGCATTTGTACAAAGCCGAAGGATGCTTTGATTGGAAACCAAAGGATGTCCTACGAAACAGCTCATCATCGGATGTGAATGGAACTTTGGATTCTGATCCACAAGTCCGATGAAGGTCGTCTTGATCCACAGCCACCACAGCAAATTCAGTAAATCGCCTTTAAAAAAGGTATCATTCAATGTGCTGGCAATAAGTGGGTCATGCCTGGTCAGTTTTTGGTCTGTGAGACTCTTCGAAACTGAAGACGGAAGCTCTGATTCGAGCGGCCTCTGTGGCCAACTTGCGGCTGTCAAGAAACACAAACGTGCCCATCCCCCCTTCTAAAAGAAAAATCCAAAGAGAACCATTAGATGACAATAGATGTTGCAAACACACTCAGGAAGTGGTAATTACTGTCACCCCCCTCTGCTTTGTCTCAACATCTACTTCTCAACCGGGACGACGTCACACTCCCAACCTTGCGCGAGCTGGCCGCGAAGTGCAGCGCCCTCAGAGGTGTCCGTGGAGGAAGGGGAAGACATGAGGGAGATAGTACTGTAAGTGTTGCTTTTCCACTCCTACTTATAACAAAGTAAGGGAGTAAGCTCCTAGCTACTATATAGTTATAGCTTCTAGTATCTTGACGCAGGATAGCTCACGCTTCTTCCTCTCCCCGCCTGAAGGGGGGGAGCTTGCTTGAAGAAGCGCTCGCGCGAATGATTTGGTTCCTAGATTTTGGGGGGAAACTTAACATTAACAAGTGCATCGCTACTAGTAACAGGTGCCTTACTAGTAGTAACAA